GAGAACTTCAGGGTGAGCCGTGCTTGGGGCTTGACCCTCTGCCTCTCCTTCCTCAGAGCATCTCAGCGCCTGGGGGGTTTCAAACAGGCATAAATAACTCATATTTTATTTACCAAACAGGGAGAGGTTGGCTGGATGAGCACTGGGGGCGTGGGGAAGGTTTGGCATTTGGTGATGCAGGGAAATAGCAGGTTCCAGGCTGTGAGGACAAATGTGGGGACAAACACAGGGAGATGCTCTGGAAGCCTGGAGGCTTGTGCAGGCATGGCTTGAGGAAAGGAGGAGGGTGTTGGGAGGCCGAGTGGGGCTGGGGGTGGAGAGCACGGAGGGAAGTGCCCCTGGCACCTCCTGGCCCCGTGGACGGAGACCACTTTGTTGGGGATCATCTCATCTTCCCATTCCAAAGGCTGGCAGGCATGGGAGGAGGGGGAAAAGCAAGTGTGGGGTGGTTTGGGGCTGGACACTGATGAGAAGAGATGGAGACTGGGATTGGAGAGAGGGGAGAGGTGTGAGTGGGGGGACAGGGTCAGCAGAGGAGGGGGGAGAAGGAGTGGGGTGAAGCCAGAGGTCGGGGCACAGGACCCTCGCTGAGGGGGAGGAGAGGGAGCAGATGGGGCTGGAAGGGACTGGGAGGGCTGGATGGGGCTGGTGGCCTCTGCTTCAGCCTCTGTCTAAGCCTGGCTTTGGGGCTGTAGCAGGTGGACCTCGCTCTGACCCTCTGCTCCAGCAGCTGTGGGGTTTCACAGCAGAAAAAAAAAGACAAAATACCTGGAAATAAAATCCAGAGGCTGGAAAATGCTGCTTCCCTGGGTTGCAGACCCCAGGACCCACGAGGCAGCAGGGTCCCTCCAGCCCCTGGTGCAGGGGTGCTGTGCAGGACCCAGGGGTGCCAGCACCCTGCTGACCTGGTTTCCCTCCTTCCCTCCCCTGCACAGCTCCTGGGGGACATCCTGATCATCGTCCTGGCCGCCCACTTCGGGAAGGACTTCGGGCCCTCCTGCCAGGCCACCTGGCAGAAGCTGGTGGGGGTGGTGGCCCACGCCCTGGCCCACAAGTACCACTGAACCCTGGGGACAGGAGCAGCTGTGCCTGTGCCGGGCAATAAACCCCACATCTTCTGGAACTCTCTGTGTTCCGTGTCTCTGTGGCTGGGGAAGGGCAGGAAAGGGGCATGGGGGGCTCTGGGTGCTGGAGCAGCACTGTCTGGGGAGGCAGCCAGGCTGGGCAGGGGGGGATTTAGCTCTGTTCTCTGCAGAAGGCCAAGTGCAGGGCAAGCAGGGACTCCTCTGGCCCTAAACTACTCTGCCTGTGATGCCTGCCAGGGTATAAATGTGTAGAGATTCACTGATTAGGCAGAAGTTTGGCCCCACACAAGGATTTAAATGTGCAGAGGTTCACTGGGCAGGCAGAAATTCGCCCCTCCATATTTTGGTACCGATGTGTTTTTAAGGAGTTGATCGAAGGCATTTTGTGCATCAGCACTGAAAACACCCCCCGTTACTTTGTGCATTTTGATCAGAGTTCAGTGTCTGAAATACCTGCTTGATCCCCAGGGGAGGGGATGGGGGATGAGGGCAGCTTTCAGGCAGGATGGATCAGAGCCTTTTTTTCAGTCATTTTGGCTCAATGTTTTCTCACTGGAATGGGAAGATTCCATGTAAGCACCTCAGCTTCAGCAGTGCTTTTTCAGGAGTAACTTAAAAGGAAGAGGAGAGACATGTTGGTGTCTCAAGATGATGGAACCCTTGTTTTGCATGATTTAGGAATGCATTTTCTGTCCTTCTCCTGGTAAAGCAGGGAACTTAGGACCACTCTACCCTGCCCAGCCAGGCAGGCAGAGGGGCCAGGCTCTCTGGCAGCACCTAGAACGTTCTGGGCTGGGGGAAAAGAAATAGAGAAAGACCCAAAGAACTGCATCCAGCTTCCCTGCAGCACAGCCTCTCCTTCCAGCCAGCAATGGCTGCCCCTGGATCCCTGGAAGTGTCCAAGGCCAGGTTGGACGGGGCTTGGAGCAACCTGGGCTGGTGGAAGGTGTCCCTGCCCATGGCAGGGGGTGGCACTGGATGGGCTTTGAGGTCCCTTCCCACCCCAACTATTCTGGGGTTTTGGAGTGGGAACAAAGACCCCCTGGAGACCTGCTGGCTTTGGAGAGCAGGCACTGCAGGTTCCAGGGGGAGCAGGGGCTGGCCTGGCTCCAGAGCCTGGGCACAGATGCCACTGCTGCTGATAAGGGCTCTGCAAAGCTTGGCGTGGGACACTCCTGCTGCAATCAGGGACAATGAACTCTGCTTGTGCAGAAAGGCCACCACTGGAGCTGCCTTTGGACACCATTGGGGTGGTTTGTCTCTAAAAAGGAAGGCTCCTGTCCATGGAGGAGGGCACGTGTGTGACCAAGACATCAAACATGACTTGAGCAACCTGGTCTGGGGGAAGGTTCCCAATGACAGGGAACTGCAGTGAGATGATCCTGAGGATCCCTTCCAACACAAGCCATTCCATGATCCTGGGATTCCATGATTCTAAGATTCTGTGACTTAGGAGATCTTCCACCCACCCCAAAGGGAACAGAGTCCTGAGCAGGGTGAAATCCATGCCAGGCAGGCAGTTTTCTTTCTGGGGACCAGCTGGGGATAAGCTGCCAGGTATTGCTGGGGGTGACTGGGGGAGAGGAGATCTCCTTTGGATTCTGCAAACAGGAAAAAAGCTCCAGGAATTGTGCCTGCCCAGCACCTTGTGATGACCATTTCCCCTCCCACCCCGTGTCCCCAGGCTGCTCCCTCAGCAGACAACCCCAGCTCCCCAAACCTGCCAGCCAGGCTGCTGCTCCCAGCCATAAAGAAGGGGATTTAAAAACATACTTAAAATTAACTCTTTCTTATGAAAGTGGACAAGGCAGATGGATCCCCTGGAGAAGCCCCAGGCTGAGCCCAGGGCTGGGGCTGTCTGGGCTGTCCTGCCTTTGGGTTTTGCCAGGTCTCAAGTAGCCAGAGCTGCTCAGAGCAAATGTTCCTGGCCAGGCTCCCCCTGCCATCCTCGGAGGCACCTTCAGGGCAGTGTCTGCCTGGCTGGGAGCTCGTTACCAACCACTGCAAACAGCCCCTGGGCCGGCCCAGCAGGGCAGGTTTCCCTCAAATGTCTCCATGGCTCACTAATCCTCAAACTCAGAAGGCCTTGGAAGTCTTTTGCAGGGAGTTTAAACTCGTGTTTATTCCCTCTGTCAGCTGGTAACTGTCCTGTGGCACCAATGCAGCTGCTGGGGATGTTCTCTGGCTGCCCAGGGGAGCTGTGGCTGCCCCTGGATCCCTGGAAGTGTCCAAGGCCAGGTTGGACGGGGCTTGGAGCAACCTGGGCTGGTGGAAGGTGTCCCTGCCCATGGCAGGGGGTGGCACTGGATGGGCTTTGAGGTCCCTGGGACACAGGGATTCCATGATTCCATGTGCACAGCTCAGCAGGGACACGGATTGTTTGTGGCACAGGGATTGCTGGTGGCACATGGATTGTTTGTGGCACAGGGATTGTTTGTGGCACAGGGATTGTTGGTGGCACATGGATTGTTTGTGGCACAGGGATTGTTTTTGGCACACGGATTGTTTGTGGCACACATCTCTCCCACTCTGGAACCCTCGGCCGGGCCGGGGCTGCACCAGCAGCTCCCCGTGTGCTCGGGGCTGAGCCTGGGGGTGAGGTGATGCTTGTCCACGCAAAGACAGAGGGGGGAAAGGGCCCCTTTTCCCCTTGGACAGCATCCAAATCCGCTATCTTCCCTTGTGCAGCCCCGCTCCCCCCCAGCCCCGACCAATGGCTCCGGGAACTGAGATTAGACCCAGCCGTGTATAAAAATGCCCGGGGCAGCCCCTGGCCCCACTCCTGTCACTGTCACTGTGCAGGGAAGCCCAGGCAGCCCCTGGCCCCACTCCTGTCATTGTCACTGCAGGGAAGCCCAGGCAGCCCCTCTGCTCGGCACCATGGTGAACTGGACAGCTGAGGAGAAGCAGCTCATCACCAGCACCTGGGGCAAGGTGAACGTCGCCGAGTGCGGTGCCGAGGCCTTGGCCAGGTAGGTCCAGCCCTGGGAACCCGCCCAGGGCACCTGGAGAGAGAAACCACCCCTATCACGGGGACATTAATGTCTCTACGGCTGTTTGTGTCTCTCCCCAGGCTGCTGATCGTCTACCCCTGGACCCAGAGGTTCTTTGCCTCCTTTGGGAACCTCTCCAGCCCCACGGCCGTCATCGGCAACCCCATGGTCCGAGCCCACGGCAAGAAGGTGCTCACCTCCTTCGGGGACGCCGTCAAGAACCTCGACAACATCAAGAAATGTTTTGCTCAGCTGAGCAAACTCCACTGTGACAAGCTGCACGTGGACCCCGAGAACTTCAGGGTGAGCTGTGCTCGGGCTCCAGCCTGGGCTGGGCAGGGGGGTCTGTCCTGGAGTGGGGTCCTGGGGGGGTCTGACAGACTGTGAGACCTCCAGAGAAACCCTGAGACTGCCCCAGCCTGGGGAGTCTGCGGAGGGCAGGGGTGATGAAAGGGGAGGAACAGCCACATTTGGGGGGAACAGAGACAAGTTACGGGGCTGGGATCTGTGAGAGGAGGGACCCGGGCAGGGGAGGAGGGTGGGGACAAACACAGAGTCAAACACATTCCAGTGGGAAAAAACATCCCGGAGCAGCCAGAGAGCAGAAGGGAAGAAGCTGAGACAGAGTTTGGAGGGAAGAGCTGAGCTTGGCTGTGATGGAGAGGTTAAACTAGGAGGGAAAATAAACATGGACATTTCAGCGGGAGGGATCCAAGCCCGAGGACAGCCTGGGTGGGCAGGGATGGGAAAGGAAGGGATAAACCCAGTGGAAGCAGGGGGAGGACACTGCACAGCAGGCAAGGGCAGGTGTCTGGGGAGGATCCAGCACACCCAGGGATCCTGGTGCCTGCCAGGGACACAACCTGTGCCAGGCGCTGGGATTTGTGACCAATTCCTCAGTAACTGGTGGTGTGACAGTGGGGAGGGGGTGGAGGGCAGCACCTGGCTGATGCTTCTCCTCCCTGCCCTGCCAGCTCCTGGGTGACATCCTCATCATCGTCCTGGCCACCCACTTCGGGAAGGACTTCACCCCTTGCTGCCAGGCTGCCTGGCAGAAGATGGTCCGGGTGGTGGCCCACGCCCTGGCCCACGAGTACCACTGAGCCCCCCGCCAGCATTCCCACCTGGACACACTCCTGGGGAACCCTCCCGGTCTCTCATTGCCAAATAAACACCAACTGCTCGGCCACGAGGTGTCTGGATCTCTGTGGGAACAGGGAAGGGGTCACACAGGGCTGGGGAAGGGAGAGGGAAGATCACACACGTGGGGCAGCAGGAGCCAGGGGCTCATTCGTGCGAGTGACACTTGTCTGAGCTGGAGAATCCAGGGGAACATTCAGGACAAAACCCAAATAAACAGCACAAAACACAAAGAGAAACACTCTGGTGCTTTTTGGAGACATCGGGTGACATTGTTTGGTTTAATCTTTTAAACCTTTCACAGAGCAAGTGGAACAAAACTGACCAAAACTGTGCAGTGGGAGGAGGGACAGGGAGGTTGGGTCCATCGTGTGTCACTTCCTTCATGTCAGGAAAAACGTGGGGCATTGTTGTTTTTTTTTGTTTGTTTGTCTGGTTGGTTTTTTTTTTTGTTTTGTTATTTTTGTTCTGGTTGGTTTGTTTGGTTTTGGTTTGTGGGGTATTTTTTTTGCCTAAATCATTGTCACTCTCAGATTAGCAAGGGCAGAATGTAATAAACTATCAAGGCCAGGTTGGACGGGGCTTGGAGCAGCCTGGGCTGGTGGAAGGTGTCCCTGCCCATGGCAGGGGGTGGCACTGGATGGGCTTTGAGGTCCCTCCCAACCCAAACCAGTGTGGGATTCCATGAAACACTGCACTGCTGAGTGAGGGGGGACAGTGTCACCCCAGGACCTTTGGCCAGGGCCCCTCTTGTGCTGAGCAGCCAGAGGAGATCTGGGGCCCTCATTAGACACGACAGCAGCTCATTCCCATGCAAACACTTTCCTCCGTGGCCATCCAGGCCCCACGGGGACATTCCTGCACCCCACGAGCTCCATCCCTGTCACCAGCACCAACATCCCACCCCACCAGCCCCAGCTGGGAGCAGGAGCAGCCCCAGAGACCCAGCTGCCTCTCCCACCTCTCAGCAGGACCTCAGGCTGCCAAACCCCTGGGTCAGGCACCATCTCCTGCTGCACATCTGTGCAGATGTTTTTCCTTCACGGGAAAGGGTGGTGAGGCCTTGGCAGGGGCTGCCCAGGGAGGTTTGGAGTGCCCATCCCTGGAGGTGTCCCAGGAAGGCCTGGCCGTGGCACTCAGTGCTCTGGGCTGGGGGACAAGGTGGGGATGGGGCACAGGGGGGATCCATGGCCTGGGAGGGCTTTTCCAGCCCCGGTGATCCTGGGACTCTGTGACATCCCAGTACACCCAGTCCTCCCAGCTCTCCTGGGACCCTGTGAGCCAACACCCTGCGGGCAGCTGGTGTGCCCTGGGTTACAACATCTCCCTTCCAGCCCTGTTGGCCTTTGCCAACAGACTCCTTGAGACAGGAGCTCTCTCTGGGCTGCAAGGCCCTGCCATGATTTTAGTGGTGTCACCCTAAAGTTTTCAAACTCTTAAAGAGCTGATGGGAAAGAACAGGGAGAACCCAAAGCCTACCAGAAGAGGAGAAAGAGAAACCGGTGCATTCAGAGGGAGAACCCAAAATCCCCATGTCAGAGTGTCATGGTAGAGATAGATATAGAGTTAAGATTATATGTAATGTATTATAGTATAAGTATTTATTTATTTGTACAGTCCTGTAATATATTCCTTTTCCCCCATATTGAGTCTTGTGTTTTTGTCTGGGGTTGAGATGTGGGAGGGGGGGCTAGGAATCAGAATTGGATTTTGAGGCTGCTAAAACCATGACACCGAGCCTTCTACCCCAGGGGTTTGCACCATGTGAGGAGCACCAAACCCAACAACCACCATCCCTGGGGGCTACCATGGGACTGCAGACACCGTCCCTGGGGGTGTCCCTGCCGTGGGACTGCAGACACCGTCCCTGGGGGTGTCCCTGCCGTGGGACTGCAGGCTCAGCGTGGAGATAATGCCACCCCTCAGCAGGGCTGGAAATCAGGGACAGGGAGGGCGCTGGATCTGGGCACCTTGCCCTGCAGCCCCACCCTGACGCGGGGTCCCCTCCCTCGGGGTGCCAGGGCCCCCCCGGGGCAGCAGCCAATGAAGGGGTGCCCGGGGGGGAGGAGGGGCCCGTCGGAGAGGATAAAAGCGGGGCTGGCAGAGCCGTCCCCAGCGTGCGATCCCTCGCGAGCTAGAGCCTTCTCCAGCCCTGCCACACGCAGCCCTCCAGCCTCCACCATGGTGCAGTGGACAGCCGAAGAGAAGCAGCTCATCACCGGCCTCTGGGGCAAGGTCAACGTCGCCGACTGCGGCGCCGAGGCCCTGGCCAGGTAGGTCCAGCCCCGGGAACCTGCCCAGAGCACCCAGACAGAGACCACCCCGACCATGGGAGAGTTACCCTGACCCTGTGCCCGCTTGTGTCTCTCCCCAGGCTGCTGATCGTCTACCCCTGGACCCAGAGGTTCTTCGCCTCCTTTGGGAACCTGTCGGGTGCCACCGCCATCCTGGGCAACCCCATGGTCCGCGCCCACGGCAAGAAGGTGCTCACCTCCTTCGGGGACGCCGTCAAGAACCTGGACAGCATCAAGAACACCTTCGCCCAGCTGTCCGAGCTGCACTGCGACAAGCTGCACGTGGACCCCGAGAACTTCAGGGTGAGCCCCCCATGGCAGTGACCCTCTAACCCCGACCCCCACCCCAGGAGGGATTCACCCCAGACGTGGGGCCGCAGGAGGAACAACAGGGGCTGGTGTTTGGAGAGAGGGACAGAGAGGGAAGGGACCAACCTGCTGCCTGGTGAGAGGGTGCAGGGGACAGGAAGGGGTTGAGGAGGTGGTTTCAGTGCAGGAAGGGACGGGGAGAGCAAAGAGAAAGCAGTTGTTAACAGAAAAGTCTGAGCCAAGGGGAAAGCCAAGGAGCAAGAGTGAAGCTTGGCACGGAGGAGAAGGGAGAGATGAGTGAGGAGAGCTGGATGCCAAAAGCAAAAGAGGATCTAGAGGGAAAGAGAGCTTTGGCTCCTGTGTTTGTGCAGCTGAGAGCTCCCCAGTGGGGAATTAACCCTGACATTTGTCCCCGGGGCTGGCAGAGATCCCCCCACGTCAGCACGAGCTCGTTGTTTGTGCCAGGGTGCTCTGAGGTGCCCGGTGCCAGCTCCCTGCCATGCTGGGAGCTCAGCTGGGTCTTCTGCTTGGGAAAAACTCCCAAACGGAGATGAAGGGAGAAAGAAAAATTTAATCAACGCAATTTCTGGAGAATTTTCGGTTACTCTTCTCAGAGGGTGTCAGAACCTGAACCTTTAGAGTAGGAGCAGAGACCAGGTTTAAGGTGCACCTTAAAAAGGACTTGAGGGAGGTTTTTGAGGCTGGAGGTTTCCCTGGGTGTAATGTGATGGGCATTGCTGACCCGAGTGTGCTCTTGTCCCCCCAGCTCCTGGGTGACATCCTGATCATCGTCCTGGCCGCCCACTTCGGCAAGGACTTCACCCCCGACTGCCAGGCCGCCTGGCAGAAGCTGGTGCGTGTGGTGGCCCACGCCCTGGCCCGCAAGTACCACTAGAGCAGCACAGGAATGCCCTGGCAGTGCCGAGCCCCGCGCCCGCCGCCGCCCGGAGCCGCTTCCAACCGCTAATAAAGCTCATCCTGTGAAGCCTCCGCAGAGTCCGTGTGTCCCTGAGGGGCTGGAGGGATGGGGGGACACGGGCATGGGGTGTCAGAGGGAGCAGGGGCCCGGGAAATCCCCCCCTGCCCTCGTGGAGTGTGGGCTCTGGGTAGTTTGTGTGGGAATTGCCTCTGGAAGTGGTGCTGTCGGGGTGTTGGGCTGATCCAGCCCTGCCACCCCCCTGGTCACACTCTGGGGGGGTTTGCACTGAGGGACTACTCAGAATTTTACTGCGTGTCTCTCCCAGACAAGGGGAATCGGGAGCATTCATATGGTTGGGGGAGGAGGATAAACAAATTGAAGGCTTTAATCTCCCCTGGCTCATGGCTGGCATCAAACCCACCCAAAATCAGCTGAGTCACACCGGCCCAGCAGCCAGCTGGGTGGGGGCAGCTCTGAGATAAACATTTTGCTATCAAGGCCCTTCCAGACCTTGTTTATTCACTTCTCTCCCACCCTGCGCCGCCCACGCTGCGGTTTGGGGGGGTCCAATCCTGCCCAGGGCAGAGGCTTCATCATTTTCTGGATGCCAGGATCGATCGGTGCTCTGCACACGGGGGGTGTGGGGTGGGTTTGGGTGCCTGCAGAGTAGGACTCATCTGGGCAGAGCCTGTTCTTGGCATGGGCAGCACTGTCTGAGCGGTGACGCAGCAAAAGAGGAGGGGAACTGGAGGGACTCACTCATTTTTTAAGGGGAAACACTGGGTAAAGCTGTTTATCCCGGGATCTCTGCCCTAATCCTGCCTCAGCCACGTTCCTGGGCACTCCACTACCAGCCCTGTCCCCCAGGAGGGTGTTAAAAGCCCTCTGTGACCCATAAATGCCCTTTCTCACACACGTCTCCCAAAGGAAGAGGCATTTTGCCCCTGGTGTCAAGGCAGGCACTGAGGAGGTGAGAAGATGAACTGCAGTGAGTCCCAAAGGGTTTTTCCCCCTGCAGGGAGGCTGGGCAGGCACAGGGGCACCAGAACCCCCAAGTTCTTCACGATTTTTCATAAGTTTCTTTATAGACATTAATAGTTTTGTATGAACATGATTGTTCACAGACTTCAGGCAGAAATGCCTGAATTATTTGCATAAGTGAGGTGTGTGGGGGTGGGAATGACTGGAGAGCTGGAGAGGGACTTTGGACAAGGGATGGAGAGACAGGACAAGGGGGAATGGCTTCCCACTGCCAGAGGGCAGGGAGAGATGAGATATTGGGAAGGAATTCCTGGCTGGGAGGGTGGGGAGGCCCTGGCACAGGTTGCCCAGAGAAGCTGTGGCTGCCCCTGGATCCCTGGGAGTGTCCAAGGCCAGGTTGGACGGGGCTTGGAGCAACCTGGGCTGGTGGAAGGTGTCCCTGCCCATGGCAGGGGTGGGATGGATGAGCTTTAAAGGTCCCTCCCAACCCAAACCCCTCCATGATTCTGTGACTCTCTGAGCCAAGGAGACCTCTCAGGACAGACCCCACAGATCAGCCCAGCAGGACAGGGCTGGGCTGGAACTCCTGGGGTTCCTTTTGGGGTCCCCCTTCCTGGGATCAGGGAGAGGGGTCATGGCAGGGCGGGAACAGTCCCTGCTCCCATTTCATGCTGTCAGAAGGTCCCTGTGGGTGCCAGCACCCCTGGGCGATGCCTGGAGCAGCGCTGGCAGCACCCAGGTCCTGGCAGGGCTGATAAGGGGGTGCAGGAGGGGGGCACTGGTGCCTGGCAGCATTTTCCCTGCGTGTTCTCTCCCCCCTGACTGCTCCCAGGCTGGGCTTATCTTGATTTGTCGTTGTGCTCCAGCCCCCCACACTGGGTTTGCTGGGGAAAAGGCAAATGTAGGCAAATCTAGGGAAGATTATTCATCCCTACTCCATTAAAAAAAGGTCTACAACTAGGGGGGGGAAGCAATATTGTTGGGCTACAAATGTCCCTCGGTATTTTCTTTCTTTGAATTGATTTTCCTGCCACGTTTTCAGTGCAGGACACACTTAGCAGGAGATGGTCTGAGGGGAGAACATTTGGGTGAACTTACCATGGGAGGAGGGTGGAACAAGACAAGCCTTAATGTCCCTTCAACCCAGACCAGCCTGTGATTCTCCCAGAGGACATCCTGAGCTGGAAGGGACCAACAGGGATCGTGGAAGTCCAGCTCTGAACTTGGACTCTGAAATGCAACTACGATTCTTCCTGCTCCAAAAGGCACAAATAAATCAAACGGGTCAAGTTCTGTCATGGGAGGGGGAAAATGAGGCTGATGCAGGTTTGGGCTGCAGAGCCTGAGCATCCCCCCAACAGCTCCAGCTCTGCCACAGCTCCCGGTGGTGCAGGGAGCCCTCGGGCAGGGCAGGGACCCGCACGGTTTGCTGGGGACAAACCCCTGGGGTGGCTCTGCCAGGGGCTGGATTTTGGCCTGGCCATTCCTCATTTCCCTGAGGGAAGGCAGAGCCCAGGGTTTGGGGGAGCTGAGGCAGCAGGTTCACACCTCTGTGGGGAGGGACCATCACCCCAGGGCTCTGCAGCCCCTTCTCCACAGAGGGGCCCACGCCTGGAAGGTGAGGGGAGAGCTGCCCTCGCAGAGGGGAAGGGACAAATCTGGAGCTCAGGATAACCAGAGGCCCCTTCTCCGTGTGCCACACCCCGGCCATCCCCTCCTGCCCCCCCTCCTGCCGGGGGGGACCCCCCACCCACCCCGTGGCCCCTCGGGAAGGGTCGGGGAGGGGCTGCATCAGGGGATAAAAGGCCCGTTGGGGTCTGGGC